CTCAAAAACTGGCCCGAACGTTTTATGTTGATCGATTTCTGTCCCAGAGCATTGTTCCGGGCGAAGTTTCGTACCTTGTGCTTGTGAGTAATTACTCCGACCGAGAACCGGGAGGAAGGCGGACCTGGAACAATCGACTGTTCCCAATGGACACGCTGGCCAGGAAGAGCCACTGGGTCGTTTTTGAAATCAGTTTCGTTTTTCCCAGCTCTCCCCTTCCAGCCGCTATCGAATTTGCACTGAACGGATCAGTGGAGCACACAGTTCAACTGTTTAGAACGATGGCGGCCGTAGACGCGGTCGTCGAGGATCCACGAGCCGAGAACATCCTGAAAACTTGCGGCTGACTGAGTCGCAATGGACGAATCTATCAAACCGAGTCAGCTCTTTTTTTTTATATTCTAGATCCATCCGAACACTATCAAGTGAACCTCTGGTCGGGAGCCGTCGGCCGCGAGACGCTTTATCCTGCGTCGCGAACCTTCCCAACGGATTCGACCGGCGACATTTTTCGTGGGAACCGGCCGCGACAGTCGTGAGCTTCCAATTCAGTTCAGGGAGCACGCGAGTGGGTTCGCAGAACTTCGTGAAAGATTCCGGGAAGATGACGGCTCTATCACTCCCTTAGGGAAGTATACGTGTAGGTGGACGACGAATTCTGCATTGTTTTTTTCTGTCCCCTCATTGCGAATTGTTTGACAATCGTCAGGGGCTCGGTTTCCGAAGTCGGCATGGCGTCTGACAGGCGAACGAGCGTCGGATTGGCGACCGGGCAAACGAGCGGGCGGACTGGCGGGCGAGCAATCGAGCTACGAGACAGACCTCCCTTGAACAGACCGACGCAGTGACTTTCATCCGCAAACAATCACTGTTCTATTTCACATTTACGAGTCAGTCACCTCACTCTAACGCGCTCGCACACGCACATTCGCTGCGACCACTATGCAAACGAGCTTGCCAGTGACACCGAAGGAACGGGGTTTTCTCATCGACATGAGTTCCTCCGCGGAGATCTGCGAGGGAAACGTGACTTCTGGTAGCGATGGACCAGCTGGAGAATGAATCGATGTCCGAAGCAATAGAGAATTCTCCGAAGAGAGGACTTCATGAAAGAGCCGGATCCTGCCTCCGGACCGAAGATTCCAACGGACCTATCGGTGCGTCAGCTCTTCATTGACTCAGACCACGGCCAGCGTCAAGGTCTGGCGTGGCCCGAGGATTTTCTTTTGAGTTTCCAGAGGCAAGCAGACAAGCTTTCGAGGTAAATAAGGCTCCCTTCGGCGAAAGGGCAACCAAGCATCGAAAGGAACAGCTTTCGCAACTTCAGGCTTCGTCGATTTCTTCCCGCGGACGTTTCCCCGATCAGCTCTTACAGATGGTTCTACTGTGATTTCCTGCCAGGTTTCCACGGGGTAAAAGTTGTTGGACATGATCCCAACCGACCAGGAATAATGCCCCAGAACTAGAACTCAGTGAATCAGAAGATTGCCTCTCCAAGTTCATCAAATGATGCATGATACTTTCTAGAGGTAAACGGGAGACTACGTGTTCCTAGCAATGCCGAAATGATCCGCAGAGATTTCCTGCATCGGCAATGCTGGGGTCCGCGCAGTTCCAGCCAGGCGAGCACGAGGATTAGCGGCCTTGATCATCTCCTCAGAAGAATCAGTGGGAATCCCCAGAAGCTCGACAGATAAAGGAGTTTGTTCTGTGGCAAAGGAGCAGCTGAGACTGAATTTCTGGTCAAGCGCAAATACACGGGATTCCTCAATATTCCCGCGACGTGATTCGGTCGAATACTCCAGATCGATACTCGGGGTGAGGGCTCCGCCAGTCGGCATGGCTGAGCAGACGGCAACTCTTTTTCCCTCCCGGTTGCATGAAAACTTGCTCCAACCCGCGTCCATCGGAATGGCGCGTCGTCGGCGGTCGGAGTGCGTTCACGATGAAACCTTCACGTTTGAACGACTTTCTTTGCTGTTGCTCACGGCTTGCCACCGCCTCAAACGCTACAACTTCGAATGGTGCCATGTTGCTGGCTGAAGCGGCCGCCGTTTCAAAATTCCTCGCGCTCTACTAGAGAAGAGCGTTTTCGAAATTTCTTCGACAAGGAACACGAGCAGCTTTCTTTCGCCTCCCAGCCATGTTCGGATGATCCTTTTGAATCTCTGATTTTCTCTTCCCTGACAGACTCTCGTGGATTGCACCTCCCCCCGTCCAGATCCGATGGTCAGGCCGGTGTCGATAGCTTCGAAAACCACTATTGGAACACGGATAGCCATCATCAGCGTCTCCGATTGCCAGGTCGGCGGCGAGCAAAGCGTCTATCGAAATCTACTTCCTATGAGCGCAAAAAGAAGGATCTTCGCTAATTCAATATCAAGGAACGCTCCGTCGGAGCCGAACCGTTGACGCGACGCTTCAACGGTGGCTTCCTCACTCAAACCGTATACTTCGACCTGGGAAAAATTCTAGGTGTTGGCCTTCACGAAACGTCCCGAAGTGAGAATTACCCTCTCTGAGGAGTAATATCATCAATTCTTCCGGATGCCCCGCAGGACCCGCCCCCGCTGCTTCCAGCCGGTGGGGGGATGGATGGAATTCAGGAAAATAACTTCGTCGTCGTGGCGCGTTCGTTATTTGTTATTTCGTTCGTTCGTTCGCTCATTCTTCGGATCGTTCAAGATCAAGGTAGTAGTCGGCAAGCAAGACAGCGAGCGAGCGCGGTAAGAATTTTGTTGTGTAGTTGACTGCTCGGAGAACAGTTCATTCGTTTCAGTGACTGACTGATTGATGCGATTGACGTTACGCAAGCTCGACACGCACGGCGTTTGTATCATTTTGTCTATTTGCAAGAGTTTAACGGACAGGTGAGCGCAAAAGTCGCACCGCGAGACTCCCACTCGATTCGTCCTGGAACATTGGGAATTGGGAGCGTCGAATCTGGTCTTCAGGAGGAACGCCATGCCGTAACTAGGTCGATTTTCTTCGCTTCGGAGTTTATCTGCACCAGAACCTCGGTATGTCTACTGAAGAAATGCCCTTGGGCGACACTCAGGCAGATTTCTTCGGATCGGATTTCGGTCGATAACCGAATTAGCGAAGTCCATCACGAACGGACAATCGTCGTTCACCGCGGATCGCTCCCAACTTGATTCCTTCTCGCGATCGGCAGGTAAGACGTGCCGCGCGGTCCCGAAACTTAGGCAAAATAAAGTCCGTGACTCCGAAAATCGCGGCTAGAAAAAAAAACAGAGCAAAATCCATGACGTTGGAGCACTTCAGAGCTCCACTCATCATTTTCAGAGCCGACAAGAGACTTGTGGCAGATGCGTCGAGGGCGTCCGTACAAACCCCATATCCGAGAGGCGTCGGTGAAAACATCTGGTCTGCAGCCGCTTCCAGAATCGAAGCGAAATAAGTCGGCTCTCTTTCTGTACACGGAAATAATGGCTGGGCCAACTTCAAACTGAATGAGCTTCGAGAGCCGCTCCGCTGAGCACTCAAGCGAATGTTCACTAAAGGGGGACTTCCGGTAGAAAGTCCGCTCCGCGACCGGAGTCAAGCATCAGACAACTTCGCACTTCGATTCCCGTCCGGGCCGTGCCCGGATCCGAGGCTCTAGCCGGCGGTCCGAGGATCGGAAATTCTGAAACTTGAACATCGACAGCCTTCCCGATCGGATAGGGATCGGATGAAGCGTCGGCGTATCAAGAAGCGTGACTGATCTCCACTGAGATCCGTACGCTCGGGTAGAGTTAGGGAGATTATTCAATTCCCGAAGCTGGGTGAATTTCTCCTTGGGGCTATCGCATTTCCGCAAGGGATCGGGTCGATACGCTTCAGGAGAATCAAATCGAGGAACCGAATCTAAAGGAGATGGAAATCCACTACCAAGACTCGGCTGGTAAGAGACGTCTGGAGCGGGAGCGATCGCCGCGACGCCAACCGCGGCGAAATCGAAGACGAAGCCCCAGAAGACGTCGCGCAAATGTTTCGGGCAAACGCTTCGGACTCGCGAGGAGCTTGTTTTCGGGTGGAACATTCCGAAAGTTGTTCCCCAGGAAGCCCGCGGAGCCCGCGAGGGAGGAAAGGGGGGACGATAGTTTCAACTGCAAGACTTGGACAAAGCGTCCAGCGGGCGTCATGCAAACAAGCGCTTCAAAAGTCGCTTAGCCCGTGAAAAGTCGCAGGAGAAGCCATGATGACAGCCAAACACACGTTGCGTGAAAACTAGGTTTTCAGGTGGCGAGAGTGTTTGTCGAAACGAGAAAAGAAACAAAATCTCTAGTAAATAAAATAAAATAAAAAACGTCATACAGTGGTCGCTTGGTGCGCGATTCGATCGAGAATTTCCGTGGGTCGTGTTGGAGAAGCGTTCCGTGGTTTTGCATAGGAACGTGCGTAGCTCCGGCGTCCCGCTAGCGGAACGCGTGACCAGAATGCATAACCGCCGGAGGAACGCTAAATCAAGGCAGTCAACAAGGACGAAATTTCTCGCGCAGGATCGACAGAAGGGGATTCCCCCGAAGCTCTTGACGAGTCTCCGAATCGGCTCCGGAATAACCGATGCATCATCCGCTCCGGAGGCGAGCCGTTTCCCCCGTTTCGGATCAGCGCCGCAAACCAGATAGCGCACCGACCCGGAATGAACGCGGGGCGCTAATTGCCCAGCCGCTGGCTTCCGTCGAGGACACACATTCAGACACAAAGCTTTTTCGCGATTTGTACCCCCAATCCAGTCGGAGTCTCCTCCTCAAGAGTCTTGAGTCGAGACTCGGCTGCTCGGCGTTCGCACGTGTTTACTCCGAACTCCAGCGCAAGCTACCGCGTACCGAGCCCTATATTCTCCCCGGCGAATCAGATCCTCCAGCTGAAGCCGATATTTCGACTGAAGTTTGAGCAGTTTTGGGTTTTTCCCCGCCTCGTCGGGGGAATCGTACCCAGAGCTCGCCGATGAGCGCAGCTCGCGCTCCTTGGGCTGAAACTCGAATACTAACCAGACAGCCATGGTCCCGAAGTACTTCATGGTCGGATCGTTGGTTGAGCTGACCCAATGCATAGACGTACGCGTATCGTTCGAACACAAACAAAACACTGGACACCTAATCCGTGAGTGATGTCGCTCCAGAGAATGCAACAAGTTTCATCTGAAGCGGTCCGAACAACAGAGCACGACAGCTCAACCGTTTGCGAAGATCTGCCGTCGAATAGTGTGAGGCCCTTCGGATCACGGAGAGGGTCGGCCCGCCAAAGCAGTGGAGAGGGCAAGCCCCGTAAATCCACTGAGCCGCATATCCACATGGGCTGACGTTTGATTCCAGTAGGATCCTTGCGAGTTCCCCGAGACGATTTCCGCCGACCGGCTTGCAGCGGCTCACCGGCGAGTCGACAACGCTTGGCACAAATCGTATTACAGTGAGCTTTTGTTTCACTAAACTGATTCGAGATGCTTCGGCGGTAACCGCATCGTATGAACGTCAGCACCTCTGATCCGACCCGTCGGAACTGACGGTCTAGCGGACTTCTTTTTTGATCCCTCCTTGACAGCCTCGATGACGGCTCGACGGTGTCCTGAGACGGTTCGCCAGTCAAATATCTCAACCCCATCGAGGAGAGCATGAAGATCAGAGATCATGACCACCGTGACGCGTTGGCTTCGACCGTGTCTCGGTCTCGTAAAGGATAGCTGACACACGTCGGAACGAGCAGCACACGAACGAACGAACGCGAGCTTGAATTGAGCTTCACGGGGTTACCTCGAAAGAGGGAATGCTCCCCCGCCCATTCTCGTGTAGTGATTGAAGGCTTCCGTTAAAAAATCGAAGCGTTTTTCCCTCCGAATAATATTATGCCATTCCACGAGAGAAGCATTGCGTTCAACCCGTCCTTTCGCAAAATCTAATCTCTCGAACCCGAAATAGATTCAACCCGTTGTATCGCAACTCGCAACGAACCCTCGACGTTGAAGGCGATCTATTCGTTTCGTTTTTATGTCGTCGCGCGGGACAGAGAAATAATAGAATATGCCGAAGATGGGAAAGTAAAAAGCCTCATATCCGGGAAGCTTCGAAAATTTCGCTCCAGAAAGTCGAACTATGATGGCGGATGTCAGCACTACGTCGGTGCAGATATGGAATCGAGCGAACCGTTGGCCGGAGCGCTGTTGCCCCGATCACAAGGGAGACGAGCGAAATTGGAGCACCAGAATACGATCCATCAATTAACCGCACCGCCTTATTTCGGTTCGCGTTATCGATAGTAATGAAAGGTAAATAGGAATCTGCGCGCTGGTATCATCGAGAACGAATCCGCTGCAGAAATTAACTATAGACGCGACTACGTCGAGAAATTATCGGAATTAACTCTCTCTGAATCGCGAGTTTCTCATGATATGATTATACTGACTGATTCCGATGCGGAATCCTGATGACATCCCAATACCCAATGAGCTTGTGGATATTGGGAGCCTCTTCGTGGAGTTTTGGCTAAAATTTTCGCCCGACTCCGGAGATGATGATTTCTTTATTGCCGCCTCCAGTTTCCGATTTTTTTCCTCCTTCAGATTAGGTGTCATCGAAATGCAGGGAACTTCTCACTTTGATACCCATCAAGATGACACGCATGGCAGGAATGTTCGCATGAGTAAACGGCTTGACCCTGACCAGCCCAAGAACCACTATTACGACTTTCATGAATGTCGTCAAATCCTAAAAAATTGAACTTCTATATCAATATCATGAAATGCAAGCATGGCTTGTGTCTTCAGAGGGACATCGACCAGGCTTTGAGAGCTGAGGAAACATCCATCCCCTCGGCAATCATTCCAGCGATCATTATCCCGTAGTGATTACTTCACCGGTTTCGCATATGATCTGGAAACGAATCCGTCAAGACATCTCCGTATGGCGGCGGGAGCTCCAACGCGGAATCGTCGCGCGATACTCTTCCTACGGATCCCCGATCGAGAGTCATCTTTCCGACTGATTTCCAGCGCTGAGCGGGAAGGAATTCACGCAGTGCGATGCCGATACTCGTAACTGATGCCGCATGACTCACTACTACTACCACAACAGGATTCACTGTTCTTCACGTCCGCCGGCTGCTCTTACTGAAGTTCAATTGGATCATGACCGGTCGATTCCGTGATGGGACCAGGGAGTCGTGTAGAATTCGATTTCCTGGATGACTGTCAAACATCACTTAGAATTGTTTGCGCCAGCCAATCGTTCCAATCCAATTTCATCAACGTTGCGAACAACAGGGACAACGCCAACAAGACTTGCAGGAGCGACAGCGGCGTTAGGATCACTAGCATTATCATTTCCGACGACAGCAGCCCTAACCAGCGTATGAGCGGAATTCAGATCAATGCCGACGTTGGCAATCTGTTCCCCCAGGAACCAAAACGAGTCTCCCACACAAAGAGCGGCAGTACCATCAACGAACACGCGATTCCGTGTACTTGACTCCATTCGATCTACCGATATCGCTAATGGGACGACATTTCTTGTCGCCGATGTTTCGTGAATTACGGGAAGCATATATGGAGCAGAACGGCATGGGACGGCGAGCAGTCGTTGGGGAATAATAATTTTCGGACCTCGGGCTGACTCACGAACAGAGGACGGAATCGTCCGTAAGAGAGCACCCACCGATATCCGATTCTGGATCTGGAACGCCACCGGTGTACTTGATAGTCGATCCATCCCCCGACGCGACGGTGGTACGGTGCGATCATGTGTACAGAAACACGGAGTACTGATAGTATGATTCGGCACTTCTCCCCGCCGGGAATCGCGCGGCAACTAGAATCTGATGGGAGATCCGCGCGGCGCCGGCGCGTAGGTTAGTCATAATTATTGATAAGATGTAGGACTGTAGGATCACGTTTATTTCTGGGCCACATGGCGGACGTGTCGTATATTTTTCCACTTCTGTTTCTCACTCGCTGCTCGTCTCGAACGCGCGAACAGAAATCGAGATGGTCCAGAAAGCCTCCCGATCGACCCTGTCACAGCCCGAACCGCCTGAGTCTGCCGAAACGATGATTTGGTGGGTTTATGACGGGTCGTTCAGAAGAAGAAACGATTCTTGCGTGAAGGTTTCGACTACCTACTCTTTGCTGGGACCGTTGCCTCCAGACCGAATTTCGGCATTCAGTCTTACTGAAAATCTCACTTTGTTGGAATCGTGGTTGTGTCCGTTGACAAATCGATGGATGAATCAAGAAAGCTCGACATGAGTGAGATTCTGACGCGAGAGCAGACCGATATAGAGATTTAACGGCGGAATCACTGTAAGGAAGGCGATTCAAGTGTTCCAGGTTTTTCGCTCTTAGTTTTAATCATTGATCACGAATCACGACTCAGTCATCGTAAAGAATGCATCGGTCATGAACGGGAGCGAATAACAATCCGGTCTGGACGTGATTGTCTGTGGACCGTCGTGTTTTCTCGCGCGCTCACGCCTGGTGCGTGAAATGTGCGTACGGGTGAAAGGGCGAAACGGAAGCTTCGCTGCAGAAGGATAACCGCCTTAATGATTGACAACACCGACAGCGCCAGCCCAGACGGCAACGTCAACAACGGGAACTAGTCTCTGAATCGAGAGACGATCAGCTATTCTGGTCTGACAGTTCCCAAATCCGACACGTACGGAGCGTCGCGTCGTCGCGAAGCTGTCAGCTTGAAGAGCGCCCGGTGTCGAAGCAATGGGGACGATCCTCGGTCGGTCCCCCTGGCGTCAGGCTCTCACATAGCGATACGTCTGCGGGCCGAATATCAGGGCCGTGGGGCCCCGATCTCAGCTCGCCCCGTACCCTACGGCGGCGTGCTACCGGGACTTCGCAGTGGTTTCGGTGAATCGGAGGGTATTCAGTGTGTCCACTCTCCTAGAAATTGCGGCCGAATATCTGGTTGAGATTCTTCACCCCTGATACTCTGTTTCTCTTGCCTGGAGCCCGATTGTCGGCTTGTGAAAAAATCGATTCCACTCGGAGCGTCACACAGGATGCACTCTTTCCTACGATGAATTTGATGTACCTAATGATCTGTCGCCGCACTACTGGAGTCATCAATTGTGTTGAAACACTGGTAGATACAAGTGGATAAACAAATGACCGGACGGACAAACAAACAAACTAACCAACAGGGAATTGTTCTTATATGAATGTGGAATAAGAGTTTTTGATCTCCCGAGCAATTCAAGCATGAGTCATGGGCCCACAGTAGATAGTTCACTTCATTGAACGTCTTGCCTCTTTGTTCGCCTGCCTGAAAACATTGAGCTCCCGATAAGCCCTCGACGAGCGTCTCCGGAGTCGTCAGTAGAAATGTCAAAGAATATCACGCACGAGAGGCCCAGGCGTCCATGCATTATTCTACGCCAGTCGACGACGGCTACGTAAACCGTTTCGTCGAGAAGACCTCTGACGCCGCTGTCGCCCACCGAAGGAAACAGGTGTGAGTGTGCAGCATTCTGTGAAGTTCCTCCTGCGAAGCGACGTCGCCCATGGACTAGGTGAACCGAATGCCCCAGTGCCTTCACACAATGGCTGGCTATCGCCCTGATGAGCTTACTGCATCATAGGCTGCTGGTGTCGTGGCCTCTTCCGTTCGACCGGCCGGTGTGCTGTTTGTTGCAGTCTTCCGCTTCGATCCATACGCATCAGTCGGTCCCATCGTCCGTCCGTCCGTCCGTCGATTCGCATCCATCCTTTTCGTTCCCATGAACTCCGGTCAATAGTGTAGCGGACACTCCCACGGACCATTACCGAAAACTTCCCGAACAATAATCAGAGCTTCATTCACTTATCCACGGGGAGAAAGTCCGAGTCATCGGCGTAATCACGTAATTCGCCTCCGCTTTCACAATGATCGTGAAGTTCCGTATTCTCGCTGTGGAAACCTCACGCGAACGCGTACGTCGCTAAACGTACCCGCTGGCTGATATTGTTGACTGTTTATTGTATTCGAGCTTCGCGGTCGCTTGAGGCCCGTGTCGTACACGATTCGCATCGGCAATTATTTGAAATACGTCGACGTGAAGTCGCTCGGTGGGCGTCGTATTCAGATCCAGATAAAAACTCGATCAGAGCACGTGACTAGTAATGTCAAACAAACTTGTTTAATGAACGCGAAACCCGCATCGACGAATAGAAGCATCGTGTCGTTTCGATTTCTGCATAATATACCTGAGCTAACTATATCTTCT